CGTATCGGTTCCAGGTTTTCCCTGTTTGTTCCTGTATGCATTTAACAAAGCAAATTACCTTATTTTCTGTGTGCACATGAAAGATCCCTAGAAGGAGAAAATTGTGGGGGTGCTTAGAGGCCTGGAGTGGGAAGGAGAGTTTTCACTGAATTCCTTATAGTCCGTTTTGAATTTTAAATCACATGAATATACTGACTATTCAAAATAAATATACCAAAAGCTTACCAAGCCTTGCAGTAAAAAAGGAGTGTAGGGGCGCCTGGGTGGTTCAGTTGGTTAAGTGTCTGTCTTCTGGTCATGATTTCAGGGTCCCAGAACCGAACTCCGCGTTGGGCTCCCTGCTCAGTGGGGAGTCATTTGGCTTCTCCCTCTTGCTTTCTCTCTCACCTTCAAATAAATAAAATCTTTAAAAAAAAGAAAGAAAAGAAAAGAAAGAAAAGAAAGAAACTGGGTGCTGAGGTGGTGTCTACCATCCCGAACTCACTCCTGATATGCGCCCTCCCCAAAGTAGGCATCATGTACCTTAGGAACTGAGAGGGGAGAGCTGGGTAGAGAGATTGAGGGTAGAAGTTAGGCAGGCCGGTCAGAGATAACCGGGGGCCAAGGCCCAGAAGAAGAAGGGGCACTTCCTATTAGGGGAAGTAGGCTGCGTCTACTGGGATATAAAGTAATGGGAAATGGGACTCTCAAGGAAGGCAGAAACCCGTGTAGAAAGGGCTCTGGAAGCCAGGCTCTGGGGTTCGAACTCGCTCCCAGGAACCACAGGAGACTTCAGAGGGTTTGAAACAGGGCAGATGCAAAGAGTTGTGTTTGACGGCAATCCGCTAGCAGCAGCGTGGAGACCAGAAAGGAAGGGGGATGTTCGAGGAACAGCTTGCTGAACACTAGGAGACAGTGGCAGTCACCTGAAGGAGGGGACCAGCGGTCCCTGTTTTAGCATTGAATAGCCCACGTCCTATCAAGCAGCTCCTGGGGGTCAGACGCTGACTGCCCAGGGGGCTTGGCGAACACTACCACCAATCCTTGCAGTGAGTAAATAGGATTAGTCCCTTTTTCCAGATGAGGAAACCGAAACTCACAGAAGTATCTTGTCCAAGGTCACGAAGCTACTAGCCACCCTCTCTATCTTCTTTGTAATTCTCTGATGGCCCTGATCCCTGTGTTGATGCTGTGTGCACTTCTTTCTCTCTCCGCCTGCACCCTGCCCCATCACAGACACACACAAACACACGCACACACACAGACACACACACACACACACAGTTGTCAACCTTTAGAACAATACCAGGCTTATAGCAGGACATCAATAAAAAAATGTGGTGACTGGGGCACCTGGGTGGCTCAGAGGGTTAAGCCTCTGCCTTTGGCTCAGGTCATGATCTCAGGGTCTTGGGATCGAGCCCCACATCGGGCTCTCTGCTCAGCAGGGAGCCTGCTTCCTCCTCTCTCTCTGCCTGCCTCTCTGCCTACCTGTGATCTCTGTCTGTCAAATAAAAAAATAAAATCTTTTAAAAAAAATGTGGTGACTGAAGGACGATGTATGTACCTTCTGTGTTATCTCATCTGGTGCCTGGCATTAAGGGAGTTCTCCATAAATACTTTCAATTGAACTGAAATCGCAATACCTAGCCCAATAAGAGTACGGCAGAAGGAGAAAGATCAGAAAATGATGCGTGATGGCACAACCTCCGCTATCCAAACCTTTCTGGAAGCGAGTCTTTCTGAGGGCTGAGTGGCGGGCTTCAAGTCCAGGAAGAAGAATCCCGGGGCTGCGTCCGTCTCTGGGCTTCCCTCACTTCCACCCTCCCTTCTGAGTTTCCCGGTCCCCTCGATCTTCTTTGCCTTCCATTTTTCTCCTTTCCTTTGTTCTTCTGTTGCCCCTTAGAAACTCCTTAGCTTGCCGGCCTATCCCAGCTCCCCACGCGTTTTGGTTTGATAAACTAGTGGCAGTCTTTCCTGGAAAGCCCATTGTACCGTTTGTGCCTGGTCCATCTCCCCTCACCGCGGCATCCCCCTTCCAGAAAGCCCTCCCTGATCTCCTCGGGCTGGTGGGGGCTCCTCTCTTCTGTGCACCTCACAGGACCTCACAGGTATAAGTGATTACATCTGCCTCACACCCTGGACTGTGAGTTTCTTGATGGTTAGAGTCCCATCAGCCTGAAATGTTTTATGAAAGAAATTGGCAGACCTTTGTGCCTCTCGGCCACCTTTCTCTTGGTACCGCTTCCTCTAAGAAAGCTAGGCGTTTGCTGGTTGGCTGGAGAAATGGTAACTGGGAAATCCTGAGTGCTGCCTGTTCAGAGTTTGCCTGCTGACCTACTTCGCTTCTTCCTGCCTTTTCTACATTCTCTGGTATCTCTATGACACTTGTCCACGTGGCTGCAGAAAACGCCAACTTGGAAGCGTGCTTTCCTCTTTGGGGGGAAGAGGGTGGCCAGTCAGGGGTTCGGCCCAGCCTTGCCTGTCTATCTTGCTTGAGGAACCAAGAGACCAGATCGCCTCCATTTGGTCCACAAGCTTTATTTCAGTATTTACTCTGTACCTGAGGCTCTGAGCTGGACATCAAGGAGACAGAAATGGAAACTGGTCTGTCCTTACCCTGCCACTGGTGCCTGTGTGACCTTGAGTCCTTTCTAGGCCTCTGCCATTTACCCATCTGAAAGTGAAGGAGGGTAGAGAGCTGATCTATCAGGGGACTTGGAGCTCTCAACATTATGGATCTTGTCCATGCTGGAGACTCCAACCCTCCACATCTGTATTTCCCCCAAAAGACCCAGACCTGTCTCACCTCTCTCCCTCCTCTCATGAAAATGCTGAGCAGACGTGCTCCAATACATCTCACCTTGTATGTGGCCAAGTAGCCCCAATAGGCAGCTTGAGAACCCCAGGTAGCTAGGGGAAGAAAAGCAAGAGGAAGTGGACAAATGGGGTGACACGTTAGGTGGCCATCTGAGGTCATTGGGGAATGAAAGCACACCCCTGCTGCATACCAAGAAAGTTCCCTAATTAATTCAGAAACATCTTAATCTTTTTTGAGATTTTATTTATTTATTTGTCAGAAACAGAGAGAGTGAGCACAAGCAGTTGCACCAGCAGACAGTGGGAAGAACAGGTTCTGTGCTGAGCAAGGAGCTCAATTCGGGGCTCCATCCCAGGACCTGGGATCATGACCTGAGCCGAAGGCAGACCCAGAACCAACCGAGCCACCCAGGTGTCCCAACTCTGAAACATCTTATTAGTCAGTCTAATCAGGGAGCTCTGAACCACAGTGGGGTTTAGGGAAGAAGACAGAACTCTGCTAATCTCCCTGGAAAAGGCTAAGGAATCAATATCTCCTTGCACTTGCAGGATACTTGATACCACTTTTATATTTGATTTTCCTGGCAACGTGTTTGATTACATTCAAAAGATTTTTTTTGAGCTCTTCTGTATTCAAGGCCTTAATGCTGAGAATACTGACCTTTTACTTTAAGACACTTATCACACATTCAAACGCATAGACATTTCTTTTTTTTTTTCAAAGATTTTATTTATTTGGGGCGCCTGGGTGGCTCAGTGGGTTAAAGCCTCTGCCTTTGGCTCAGGTCATGATCCCAGGGTCCTGGGATCGAGCCCCACATCGGGCTCTCTGCTCGGCAGGGAGCCTGCTTCCTCCTCTCTCTGACTGCCTCTCTGCCTACTTGTAATCTCTGTTTAAAATAAATAAATAAAATCTTTAAAAAAAAGATTTTATTTATTTGACAGAGAGCGTGAGAGAGAGAGAGAGAGAGAGAGAGCGCAAGAGAGGGAACACAAGCAGGGGGATTGGGAGAGGGAGAGAGAGAAGCAGGCTTTCCGCTGAGCAGGGAGCCCAATGCAGGGCTCCATCCCGGGATTCTGGGATTATGACCTGAGCCGAAGGCAGATGCTTAATGACTGAGCCACCCAGGCACCCCATGCATAGACATTTCTGTGATTTTCTTTTGCTTCATGTCTGTCTCCTCCACTGGACTGTAAGTTCAATAAAGGCAGAAATCCTGTCCATCTTCTTCCCCGCCAAATCTTCAGCACCTATAGCAGTGCCTGGCAAACAGTAGTCACTCAATAGGTAGTTACAGAAAAAAAAATAATAAATCCAGAGGGCTGGGGCCTGGGGACAGTCTTTAATTTTGTAAAGGCGGTGTGTAGAAGCAAGACTCTTAGCCTCAAACATAGTAGATGGTCAATAGACATTAATGGAACTAAACGAATCGTAATAGGAAACACACAGTGCCTACTGTATGCCAGGAAATATGCTAAGCACTTTACATTCATTTGATCACCTAATCCTTGTAAAAGCCCTGTGAAATAGGTACTATTATTATCCCTGTTCTACAGATGGGGAAACTGAGGCAGAGAAGTTCACCAACTTGTAAGCAGCAGAGCTGAGATCTGAACCCCGGCTATCCGGCTCTCCAATCCATGCCCCTCACCACTACACTGCCTTCCAACAATGAATGCTCGAACTGAGATCTAGAGAGATGGAACAATTTGCAAAGATGTCACGGGAATAACATGCTGGAGGCAGGCCAGAACCCAGGTCTGCTCTCTATGTAATGCTTCTACCAGTCTATCATAGGGTATCGGGCTGCTGATACAGAGCCCTTGGGAAGAGAGGCACCAGGACGGATCTGAGAAGTCTAGATATCCATGCAGAAAAAGGCTCAGCTTGGCCATGTAGGTCTCCACAGAAGATGGGAGGAGCCAAAAAACAGAAACAAGTATCATCACCAGGCCTCCTTTCTTAAGCAGGGAAGTAGGTCGCTTTTCGGGTGTCCTCTTCAAGGTCTAAGCCATTTTCTTTTCCTTCACTCATTTATCGGGGATTCCCCCACACACAGCCAGAAGCACCCCAGGGTCATATCTGCCTCATTGCAATGGAGCACGCATGAAGAAATGCTATATATTAGAGGGATATTAGAGAGATTATGTGGGGTGATCTGAAACCTGGTGTGTGTAGGAAGCTTGGGGTGGAGCCAGGGCTAAACAACAGGGAAGACTGGAGTAAAGGTTAGGTCAGGCCTAAAATCTTCAACAGCTGAAGGGACTCAGTGGTAAGAGACTAGAGCAAAGCACCTACAGAGGTGCTGGCTTTCTGTTTGGGCTTCTTGCCACAACTGAAGAGCACCACTGCCATGGCCTTCCTCTCCAGACTAGATCTTCAGGAATGCCTCCAAACCCTGTCTGTTTTGCAGTGGCTCCCAGTCTACGTGTTTTTAGGTGAGTGAATCCCAGGGGCCGGAGAGCATATGAGAACAGGCCAAGAAAGAGTCCAGGAACACCCCCCCCTCCCCCGGCAATAAGGAAGGTTCCAAAGAGATTATTTGGTTGGTCCCCACACTCTGGGAAAGACTGCGCCTCCCCACCCAGAGAGAGGGCTCCTGCTAAGTTCATGAAATTTCTCTTTCCAATAGAGTGGCACGAAGGCCATGAGTGAGGCTACTGTTGTTCTCGTTTAAAGATCACAGCGGCCTTCTCAGGACTGCCCCCTCTTTTTTAAAATTTCAAGTCTTTATTTAAATTCCAGCAAGGTAGCTCATAGTGTAATATCAGTCTCAGGAGTAGAATTGAGTGATCCGTCACTTACATAGGACACCCAGTGCTCACCCCAGCCAGTGCCCTTCATAATACCCATCCCCCATTTAACCCAGCCCCCTGCCCACCCCTTCTGAACTAGCTGGAAAGAGTCATATTCAGGGACGGGAGCAGAGGTGGTGGTGGCTTGCAGAGCTGTTGTTACTAGGTAGGCAGAAGGTGACTTTCCAGTATAAAACTATGGTGACAGAATTCTGGAAAGTCTCAGAGCTGCCTGAGTGACTCATAGGACAAAATTTTAATAAAGTGCCTGTTGTGCCGTGGACTCAAAGCATGGCAATTATCAGTGCCTGGCAAATGGGTTGAGAGCTCTCAGCTTTTCCCAGCCAGAAACTAGGACCTCGTGGGCAGTCAGTTACAAGGACCAAGCTTGGACACTGGATGGGGAAAAATGTCATCCTGAAGGCAGCCAGTGCCAATCTATGGGAAGCTATCTGATCCCTTAGAGCAGATGGTCTTAACCAAAGGCCTATAGACCTAGAACCTGAGGTTGGGAGGGAGGGGGCGATTTTGAATTTGCATAGAAAAAAATTACCTTTATTTTCACTGACCTCAAGCTGAAATAATGAATGTAGGCAACAAAACACAAAAACATCATCAGTACCAGTGAATTTTTCAGTGATAGACATCACAGGTTTGCTTATCACATGCTATTTGCTGCAAGGATCTTGAAATTTCTTTTATGCTCATGACTACCTCAAAATTCCAGTAGTTATTGGAACCACCATTAGGTCTGGTTATTTAATGCATGAACCAAGAAGCCCAGGTTACTAGATCACGTTTTTTATAATGTTTTGAGAATTGCATCATAATATGATGCATTTCCTTTGTAAGTCTGTGTATTTTATTTTGGGCATTTAAGGTATTATTCGGAGAAGGGGTTCCTGGGCTTCCCCAGACTGCCAACGGGGTCCATGACCCCCAAAATATGATGACTTATTGAGCCTCATTTTAACCAAATCATGGTGAGCTCTTAGTCCGTCAATGGCCCACCTCTAGATGTATTAAGAAAAAAAAAGCGGTATTTCTGTAAACTTCCTTCTTGGTCTTTCATATTTTCTCTTTGTCTCTCTTTGCATTTATCTTAACTTCTTCCAACAGATCCCTTTGACAAGTTCAAGCCCCCAGTTAAGGAAGTGAGGGCCGCTGGAATATCCTAAAACGCTTGGCATCGTGGTGACAGCCACCATTTCAAGTCTGGATCTCAGAAAGAACAGGCAGAGATGGGGATTAGAGAGCAGAGGAAAGAGGTCCAGAGAGGAAGAACTGTGTAAGCTGATCCCTTTATGGGTAGGGTCTGTCCCACCCCAGAGAGACTTTGTGTGGCATTCAAACACAAGTGCCCACGCCGGTCTGGCTCTTCTGGGGAGCTCTCTTCAATAAAATGTTTTCATTTTTCGACCACAAAATGATTTGTTTTGAAATATTTTTTTTTCTCTCTTCCTCTCCCCATCTCAAAGGACACTGTCTCTAGACAGGGATGAGGATAGAGGGCATATCCAACACTGAATATGTAAGATCCCATGTGAGCCTCCTAATATTAGCTTCTAACATTAGAATGTTAGCCTCCTAATAATGCCCACCCCCATCTTCCTAGCCTCCAGTCATCCTGGAAGAGCTGGAGGTGTGGAGTGGGAATGTTAGTGACCAATGATGGCACCTACGTGTCTTCAGGGGAAAAAACTCATAACAGATGTAAATGTTTTGTTTCTCCTGCATTTTCAAAAGTTTTTAAAAACTGCAGTGAAATACACATGACATCCAATCAACCGTTTTAACTATTTTTTAAGTGTCCATTTTATTTTTTTAAAGACTTTATTTATTTATTTGACACAGAGAGAGAGATCACAAGCAGGCAGAGAGGCAGGCAGAGAGAGAGGGGGGAAGCAGGCTCCCTGCTGAGCAGAGAGCCCGATGCCAGAACCCTGAGACCATGCCCTGAGCTGAACACAGAGGCTTAACCCTCTGAGCCACCCAGGCGCCCCTAAGTGTCCATTTTAGCAGCATTAAATATATTCAGTGTTGTGCAACCATTGCCAACCTCCATCCACCTCCAGACCTCTTTTCGTCTTGTAAAACTGAAACTCTGTACCCAGTAAACAAGAACTCACCGTTTGCCCTTCCCCAGCCCCTGGCAACCACCACTCTACTTTCCATCTCTGAATTTGAGTCGCACTCAAATGGGTGAGTGGGCACTTCATGTAAGTGGAATTATGAACTCTTTGTCCTTCTGAGACTGGCTTGTTTCACTTACCATGTCTTCAAGTTCCACCTGTGTTATATCATGTGACAGGATTTCCTTCCTTGTTAAGGCTGAGTAACATTCCATTGTGTGACTATTGTTAAGTAATGGTTCTATAAACATGGGTGTTCAAATGTATCTTTGAGATCTTGTTTTCAATTCTGTTGGATATATTCCCAGAAATGCAATTGTTGGATCATATGGATGTTCCATTTTACTTTTTTTTAAAGATTTTATTTATTTATTTGACAGAGAGAAAGAGAACACAAGCAGGTGGAGTGGGAGAGGGAGAAGCAGGCCTCCCTCAGAGCAGGGAGCCCAATGCGGGGCTCGATCCCAGAACCTCTGGATCATGATCTGAGCCAAAGACAGATGTTTAATGAGTAAGCCACCCAGGCACCCATATTTTACATTTTTTTGAGGAACTACTATACTGTTTTCCATAGCAGCTGCACTGTTTTACATTCCCACCGATAGTGTGCAAGGGATCAAATTTCTCCACATTCTCTCCAACACTTCTTTATTTTCTGTTTTTTGAATGTGATGCCATCTTACTGTGATTTTGATTTGCATTTTCCTAATGATTAGTAGTGTTGAGCATCTTTTTGTATGCTTATTGGCTTGTTGGCCATTTGTCTCAACTTCTTTTAAATCGATCATCATTCCATTTATCTTCCTCTACTGGTTTAGATGTTATACATCCTGTTTCTATTATTTTAGCAATTATGCTACAAGTTACAACATGAATCCCGGGTCTTGGAGTTTACCGAGGTAGCTGTAGCATTTAACAGCGTGAGATATTAAAGATATTAAGATATTTACATCTGTTCAATAGTTACAGAGCAAATACTGATTATAAGACAACAACTGTCCTTGTCAAGACTACAATGAGTCAAGTACCAACTCCTTACTATCTAGGAACAAAGATAAAACAATCATTAATTCCACCATTGTACACAGTTTACACATCATACTGGACACACACACAAGTTACTACGATAGAAGACAGACTAGTAAGTGAAAGAAGGAGTCACAGTGAAGTGATATTAGGGTTTCAAGGGAAAAAATATCACACCAACTTGAGGGGATTGGGAAGGTAGAAAAGAGAATCAGTGAAACATGGTGAACAGGATGTGGATTCTGGAATTTGTGTAACTTGGACTACAGTTCACTTTGTGACTTCCAACGAGTTCTGTGACCCACTCTAAGGCTCAGTATCCCCATCCTCTCAGCTTGGCCTTCAGTAATTGTCCATACAGAAAAGTGTCCCTCCCTCCCTCCCTTCCTACCCTCTCTCCCTTTTCTCCCTCCCTTCTTAATTTCCTCTGTTCTACTCTTTCTCACCCACTTCCTTCATTCCTCTCTTTCAGAGCTTTCCTCAGTGCCTCTCCTTCCCAAATGATGTTCAGAATCATGGCTGATTACTGAGCATCACTGAAAGTAATGGGAGACAAAATAGGGGAAAAGAGGAGAAAAAAATGCAGAGGGACAAGAAGGAGGGGAAACGTGAGAAGAGAGGAATGGAAAGACAGTTTGGGAGTGATGTGAAATAGTAAGACTCATGAGCCTTAGAACTGGGCAATGGCCCTGACAGACCCCTTCCGGTCCCCACCCCCCCCACCCCCGTGGAGGGCCAACTTCCATTAGAGAATGGCTCTCCATCTGTCTTGTCTTTTCTGGGCTTGTATCACCATCTACCTAAACTGTTGCTATATCTTCTTTCCTGGCCCTCTATCTTCTATTCTCCATCCTCTCCAATGTATTCCACTGTTTCTGAAGTAAACAACATTATGACTGTGCTTTTTAAAAAAAAAAAAATCTGGCAGTAGCACGGGAAATGGACCAGAAGGGAAGACACCAGCAGGCAAAAAGAGCAGACTAAAGACTGTACTCCAGACCAGAGGAGATCGAGCCTTCAACTATAGCAGTGGCAATGGAGATAGAAGCAGGAGAATCAATGGGAGAGAGATTTTTTAGAAAGGGAAGGAAGTCTAAGAGAGCTCCAAAATATTGCAACAAGGCCATTTATTTTGAGGGCTAAAAAATGAATAGGAACTATCCAGGAAAGAGCTGAGGAAGATTCTTTCAGGTGAAAGGGGATGGCATGCACAGAAGCCCACACTCTCCCTGTGCTGGGCAGGAAGAACAGAATGAGTTGGAGGAGAGACAGAACAGTATGGTGGAATGCCTAAAATAAGGGAGGTGGCCAGCGGCTTCACCACAGAGGGCCTTCAAAATCAAGATTACAAGACCTTAAGAGCCTTCACCTTAAGAGTCATCAGAAGCCGCATTCGATGCTGAATTATTAAATTACCATTTACTCCCACACATTCTTATGTTTACAGTCAATTTAGACCCAATAAGTAATTTCAAAGCTACAGAA